GGTTAGGGCAGGTCAGGAAGAGTTACAGAGCAAATGGGGATGGGGGGTGATGAAAATAGTAGCTATAGATCCACTGGAGAATCTTGTTGCTAATAAAGGGAGTTAAGATAATAGCTGGCAAAGTCAGCACGGTCAAAAGAGGATTTCAAAGATGGGAAATGTTCATGTTTGAAAACATGAAAAAAAGCCATGAAGAAAGAGAAAAGCAAAATTCTATAGGAAGGAGGGACAGTAAAATCTGTAACCACTGTGGTTAGAGCATTTGAATGTCACATTTCCCAGATCTCATGGCTTGAGGAAAACCCCAACAAGTGTTCCTCCTTCATACTTTCCCTGGGGCTGTATCTTTTCTGGCTATAAGGTTGCTTCATTGAAGGTCAGTATATAGTATCGTATTCACTTAGACCAGTTCGCTGATGTGTTAAGAATTTAGACAAAGGACCAAGTGAACTAAGATCTCTGACTCTGTCATTTCTTCTGAACTCTCTCCTTTTGAGTGCGAATGGGGCCTTTTACATCTTCACAGGTTATGACTTATTAATATGGATCCTGACAGGCTCCTCAGGTGGATGTAAACACTCTTAATTTAAGGGCACGCTGTACAGCTTGACTATTTTTAACTCACATAACTGTCTACACCTGGGTTTTTAATTTTATGAGCTGTACTTTTCTTGGGTTCAGTAAAGAGGATGATTCATGGTTGATTTCTTGGCTTCTGAAGCATTCTGAAATATGCAGCCCTGATTAGTGAACCCAAAAAGCAGACGGCTTCTCAGCCAATGTCATGATCACGTGTACCTCAAAATTTCCGGAGAAACAACTTCAGAAGGAAATTTACCTACATCGCCAAACTCCATATTTAAATTTTACATATCATGCATTAATAAATGTGTAGAATAAAAACATTTTAAGAATCTACTAATAATTGTAAGAATAGACCAGTTTATAAAACATTTTCATATGCATTGTGTCAATTGATCATTTGTAGTAACTGTGTAAGGTATTATTCTCTCTCTTATTTGACAGAAGGAAATTGAGTACTCAAAAAATTAAATGACTCACTTATTTGGTGGGGAAAAAGTATCTAAGCATCCCTTGTTTCTTTCATTATGCCATATTACCTGATCTGAGGGGAGTAAGCAGCAATTAAATTGAGAGCATCAGAAAGATAGAAAGAAGAAATCTACCTTTCTCCTGAAAGTAGGAAACAAATTGACAGGAAAATGCCAGGAAACAGAATGGCAGGTCAAAGAGAATGGGGTTGAAGAGGAGAGAAAATGAGGGCAATCATTCAGCTGGGACTGAATTGCCTTGATAGTCCAGCAAATGGGAGGTGAAGGCATCCCTTGGAAAGGGAAGAGTAATGGGGCCAGCTTAGGTGTTGGAAGTGGAGTTGGGTGGGTATAACACAAAAGAACAAAAGTTTACCTCAGTGGTAAAATGTGTACTTTGCATGGTGAAGGGACTGAGTTCGATCCCTAGTACTGGAAAAAAAAAAAAAGATTCAACAATATGTATCAAGATGCACCAGGCACTATGATAAACCCCAGGATAAAAGAATGAGTAATACATGATCTTAAACCCAAAAAGTTCAAAGGACAAGAGCTGCAAGAGGCCAGGGAGAGGTTTTCAATAACTTCATTTCAAATTTGATGAATTAGTTACAATTCTATAGCAAAAGCAAATGAAAATTTCAGAGAATATGAAATGTGCTGATCCAATATTTCCTGCTCAACCCTCTGGCACCCACTTATTGAGGCAACAAATATTTATTAAACCCTGATTATGTGCCAGGTATGTGTTAGCTACTGGGTACACAAAGATCAATAGAGCAGCTAAATATCTAATCATTGGTCTATAATATCAGAAGCTTCATTGTTTTGCCCTCCTTATCAAAGATCACATTACAGACTATTGATGTGATCTGTTTATCTGTTTTTATTACTCAGTCCTAATATATACTGCTGCTGTTCTTTTACAACAAGCTCAGAGGAGGGGTTTTTTTTTAATTATATTTTAAATCCATTTACAGATTATTAGAAGGTTATTTGCTAGGTTTTTTTGTTCAATTTTAATTAATTTTTAGTATGATAAAATACAGTAAAAATATATAATAGCTCTAAATGTACTGTACATTAGCTCTAAAGTTGTAAATTCTCTGAGAATATTTTCTTTTGTTTTATTTCCTACCAGTTGTAATTTTTTTTCTTCATTAATTTATGGAAATTTTCATGATTACAAGTTCCTTTCAGAATTTGTAATGATTTCCATGAGTGATATTTATTTTCATCTTATGCATACAATATATACACTGTGATATATCTATCATAACAGTGCTGAAACTAGTATTTCTTAATTTTGACACTACTGCTATTTTGAGCCAAGTAAGCCCATTATGTTGGGCTGTCCTGACAATGAGGGGATTTAATGGTATTCCTGGTTCTTCTAGCACTGCCCAACTTTAGTTGTGACAACCAAAATTGTCACCAACCATTGCCAAATGTCCCCCAGGGCATGAAATCATATTTAATTGAGAATGACTACTTCAATTTAGCTTTTGTAATCCCCACAGTATCCTAAATCAAGATTTATTTAGTCAGAAATTTAGATTCTACCACCTGTGAAAAATTCCAAAGTATGTTTTGTTTTTTCTGCCCTCTTAATCACTTCTTATATTGAGTGATTGAAGACGTCAGTGTCTCATAAGGGATAGGACCTAATTTTGCCTAGAATTCCTTATTGATATTTAAATGAGAAGTGAAGGAAAGCCCCCTCCCCCTTAAGATGCACAAGGAGAAAGCAGAGGGAAGTTGGCTAACCCTCACCAAACATAATTCAGACAGAGTCTAGTTGTTGGAGGATCTGTTTGCTATGTTCTTCCCACCTTTTCCCCCTGTCCTCATCCTGACCATGACAAACCCTTGAAATGCGCACTCTACTCCTTAGTGCAGTGCCTTGGACAGAGTCAGCATTTCAGCACTATGATTAAATTCCATCAAGTGGAAAACACTTGATCTCAGATTCCTCACCAGGTTCCCAATTAACTCAAGAAACAGTTGCTGAACTCTTTCTGGGAACCTAAAACCATGCTCATTTTGAAGTGATGGAAAGAAAAGAGAAGGGAGAAGTAGTTTCTTTGACCTTCAGAAAAGTCCAGGTCTCATGGGACAAAAACTCAAGTTAAAAACAAAGAAAAATCAGAGATCATAAGACTGAGAATGAGCAAGTAGATGAGACAGAATATGTGATAAAAATCAAGACAGCTGAAGTTTAGTTCAGGTTCTGCCTGCCCCTAACAACCACATGAACTTTGAGCCCATCAGCCTTTCTGGGTCTTAGTTTTCCATCTGGTAATACATGTGTTCCAGATAAGGCTGTTATATTTTGGGTCTGGAGGAAGAAGTGTACCCTAAGTGGACCCTCTCCACCCTGTTTATTGTCCATAGTTGGTGTTCAATTAATGGGAAACTAGGCAAATAATTTATAAAAATGGATAGAATCTATCCATATGAAACTTTAGAGTTTATAATGCACTTTTACATACATTATCTCATTTCATCCTCCTAAAATCTCATGACATTGGCGAGGGAATGATTATTCTCACTTAAGAAATGAAACTAGGTTTGGAGATGCTGAGCAGCACCAGGGCTGGAATTCTAGCCTACATTTTCTGAAACACCATGAGTTTTTTCTTCTGCATCATAACTCTTAGGAAACATGGAGAAATATTTTTCTCTTCTCAATATATCTCTTTGAGATTTTATCATCAATTTAAATTTCCTCACCTGGGATGTTTCACTTACTCCCTAAATGTGGTGAGAAATCCTTTTGCTATGTCGTCAGAGCACCTGAACTTAACTGTATAACACCACTGATCACTGACTCATAATTACCTGGTTATTTATCAGTCTCTACTACCAGACTGAAAACATGTTGAAGAGGGGACCTCGGTCTTATTCAGTGTGTCATCCTTGATATCTACCACAGAACCTCGTGAAGAATGCTCCATAGAAACTCAACATAAGATTTGGGGAGTGTCTAAACTACATGTTGAATGTCAAAACTTTATTACAGTTTATCTGTTTACAAATAATTTTGTCCATTAATTATGGGCTTCTAAGTAGCCAAATAAGCTATACATGTTTTATTTGTTTTATTAATTTTTTATTTTTATTAGTACACATTTGCAGAACATGCGATTTACAATCATCTTGGGGAGTAGGTACATGTATGTAATACATCTTGCTTCTTTTTTTAATCACTTTCCCTTCCCTCCCTCTGCCCTCCCTCCTCCTATATATGTTTTTTTTCCTATACATGTTTTATAAAAAGGGTTTTCATCTCCAAAATGCAGAATGAGCAATATTTACACTGGAAATTCAGCCCAGCACCTTCATGTGTATACTGTGACAATTTTATGAAAATAACATTTGATTAGTGGATGAATACATTGCTAAACCTGAAAATAATATGTATATATTAGGTTTTCTGTTGGCCATCAAACTCAAAGATGCAAATACTTCCAATAGATAATTATAGCAGCAACACTAGAATTTATGATTATTAATGTTTTCCTGTTTCTACAGGAAATAATTAACATCTCCCAAACACAAACATTTGGTTCATTTATACAATATTTATCATGTTCATCTTCTTCTATTTATCTTCTTGAGATTTTTAATTTTTAAAAGGTCAGAACAGGAAATAGAAATTTGTGTCAAATAATATTTGAAAGAGGGGTGCAGAGCTTTACTGGATAGGTCATTAGTGCTATTTCCTTGCAATATCCTTGATGTTTTGAATATCCTTAAATAAATGAAGGAAAGGGAATCACAGAGATGCTAAGACAATGAAAAGGGAGAAGAAACTTCATAGGGCAAAAAAAGAATGTGGGGTTTTTTTTAATACAGCAAAAGAACAGGGGATTTAGCAGTGGCCTCTGAAGTGTGTCTCACAGTCCACAATTTGATCTAAATCAAGCCTTGTTCTTGGTTTCTTAGGATTTTCTGGAGACGGCAGGTTCACTTGTTGGCAGAGATTCGGCCCAGCACCATCACCAGCTCCTTCCCCCAGCTCATGTCCAATGTGGATGCAGCTTATGAAGTGGCTGAGAGGGGTGTTGCTTACTTCTTCAAAGGTACTCTACAGACCCCTCAAAGAAAGAAAAGGCACAAATGCCTGGCCCCATCTATTTGGAATATGTCAGATTGGGTACAAAATGCCACCCTACCCTGTTGTAACAGTGATGGGAATAACGGTGACTATCAACTGTTCTAACCCAGCCTTTGAGTTTAGAGAGGCAGCATACTAAGTGACCATAGTCAAGGAGCCTGAAACCTGGTCCCTGCCCCCTCTGCTGAGAGTGGCATGGCATATTGCACTAAGAGCCTTTAACATTAAATAGTACTCCAGCTGCAGTGCCATGGTCAGAAGAAGCTAGGAGAGGAAGGCACCTGTGACTTCAAGAGGTGGACACTCATGATACCACTCTCTGGCTTTAGCCCTTTATTATTTGAGTGGCTTTGACAAGTTATCTAATTGCCATGAGCTTGATTTCTTCCTCTGCAAAATGATTATAGTAATATCAACCTTGAAGATGTGCTACAATAATAGCTAACCAATCAAAGTTATTCAATACATGATAACTATCAGTTTTTGTTTACATATATTTTTTTTCTTTTTTTGTGGTTCTAGGGACTGAACCCAGTGTCTTTCACATGCTAAGCCAGTGCTCTACCACTGAGCTACAACCCTACCCCTGCTTATATTTTCTTGATACTGAGAGATAAGAGTAAAAGACTTTTACCAATTTAAGTGAGAGTCACAGCATTTGCATGTCACTTGCCTCTTCTCTTACATGGATATATGAAGGTGAAATTATATGATAAATAAAAGGTATCTTGAAAAAAATAAATGTGCTAAATGTAAGGCACAATTGTATTAAGATTACTGCTTTCTTAAGCATAACTAGAGATTTTTCCTACCTGGAAGTTAGAAGTCTGTTGCTGAGTTGAATAGAGACATACATCTCCTATTGGATTTAGCCATGGCAAATATCCCCCATGAACTAGTCCCATTTAGGATCCTGCATAGAAATTTTCATGACTGACATGTATCACTAAGTGGTAGAGAGATTTTATAAACCTTAATTTCTGTTTTCAGGCCCCCACTACTGGATAACAAGAGGATTCCAAATCCAAGGTCCTCCTCGGACTATTTATGACTTTGGGTTCCCAAGGCGTGTGCAGCGAATAGATGCTGCTGTGTATCTCAAGAAACCACAGAAGACCCTTTTCTTTGTGGGAGATGAATACTACAGGTATGGATTTTATCCTTTTATTGTCTAGTTATATTCACTGGAAGGGAAAAAAATCTTTTGCCTAAATGAATGCAAGGCAAGCTTATAATAGGCTTATTGACTCTTCTTGGCCATCTGCAAGATGGCCATCGACTGATCCTTAAAATACAAAACCGTCCAAATGGTAAGTAAAATATTCATTAAATAATCCCATTGTTTGATTTCTAGGACATCAAACATCTTGATCTTTCAAATAAACTAATGAAGTGTACCATGGTGACCAAAAAAAGTAGATATAGCATCTCTAAGTACCTAACTACCCAATAAGGATGCCAATAAGGACTCCACTGTTACATAAGCATAAAGTTCATTCTGTAATTCTCTGTGGTTTGTGAAAAAATGGATGTGGCCCTGAATGTGAAACTCTTTGACAGAAAGTCCGGTGAAAAGAAAAGGCTTTATTGATAAGTCCTTTTACCTAGCATAGAACATTAAGATTCTTATCCAAAGAGGACCTTATATAATATTCATGCCAGTTCTTCAGGGTTTTATTATAAGCAGATCCAAATAAGGTGTGATCTGTCACCCAGATACTTGACACTGGGCTACACCTCATTCACTTACTAGGTTTCAACCCTTAGTTGACTGATTTTGAGGAATGATTGCAGCTCTTTGCCAATCTCCTTCAAAGACCACCCCTATTTCTAAATACTTTTCCCTAGTCTTACTTCTGTCTTTGGCATTATCTGCTTCCCTGAATTTCAAAGCAGAAGCAAAAGCAGATTATAAGTAAATGACTTTGCAAAACATTTTTATACCTATGAGAGGGTGTGGAGGAAATCAGGAGAACACCCAACTTTCATCTAAGAGCTTTCACTTTGTTTTATATCACCTATGTTAAATAACCATTTGTGTGGCATAAAAGAAATTTATAAAAGGGCTGGTGATTTAGCTCAGTGGCAAAGTGCCTGCCTCTCAAGCACAAGGTCCTGAGATTGATCCTTGGTACTGGAAAAAAGAAAGAAAGAAAGAAAGAGAGAAAGAAAGAAAGAAAGAAAGAAAGAAAGAAAGAAAGAAAGAAAGAAAGAAAGAAAGAAAGAAAGAAAGA